CCCCCCCCCCAAAGTTTCCCAGTACTGTCAGTCATTTTCTTATAGTATTGCATTGGATATTTAAGCTCCATTATATGAGTGAGAACATGTGATACTCGGATCTTTGTTTCTGTGAGAGGTCACTCAGTATTATAGACTCTAGTTCCAAGAATGGCCAGAACAATCCTCAGCAAAAAAACAAAGCAGGTGGTATCACATTACCAGATTTCAAACTTTACTATAAAGCTACAATCATCAAAACAGCTTGGTATTGGTATAGAAACAGGCATATAGATCAATGGAATAGAATTGAGATTCCAGAAGCCAAACAATTTCTCAACCAACTCATCTTCGACAAGGCCTCCACCACCTACCACTGGGGAGAGGAGAACCTATTCAGTAAAGGTGCTGGGAAAACTGGCTGACCACATGCAGAAGATTGAAACAGGACCCCTGTCTATCCCCATGCACAAAAGTTAACTCCAAATGGATCAGAGACCTAAATGTAAAATCTCAAACCATAAGAACCTTAGAAAATGAGGGAAATACCCTCATGGAAATTGGAACTGGCATCCAATTCCTGAACAAAACCCGAAACCCACAGCTCATAAGAGAGAAGATAGACAAGTGGGACCTTATTAAACTGACAAGCTTCTGCAAAGCCAAAGAAACCATCAAGCGAGCAGGGAGACAGCCTACAGACTGGGAAAAAATATTTGCCAATACACAACTTTTAATAAATAATGTCCAGGTTTTTAATGTCCCCTTAGAGAATTATGACCTTCCTAAATGGACAAAGTAAAAGTCCAATACTGACTCTATTAAAATTTGTGAGTTCCTGACCACCGATTCAAAATGGCACTTTTATGAAAACCTAGTGATCTACAAGATAACACATAAAAGCAATTCAGGAATTGTCAGTGAAATGTGACTGGGCATGGTAGATTACACCTACAATTCCAGCAAGTTGGGAAGCTGAGGTGGGAGGATTGCTTGAAGCCAGAAGTTTGAGATCACTCTGGGTAACATAGCAAGACCTCATCTATACAAAAAAAATTAGCTGGGCATGGTGGTATGTTCCTGTAGTTCCAGTTATTGCCTGATACTGGAAGGTTAAGACTGGTAAACTGTGATTGTACCACTGCAGGATCAAGAGAGTGAGACCCTGCATTAAAAAATAAAAAGAAAATTAAAAAGAGAAATTATCAGAGAAA